AAGGGGGGGGGGGGGGGCAGATGGGAGGTTTGGACCATCGACCGAAAAGTTCTCAAGATTATATGGACTGTAATTGGTCTAAGATTCGCATGTTTTGAGGTCTGAAATGCATAAATTCGAATCTGTTATTCCCACAGCATTTAAAATAGCTGACCTTTTAAATTTAAAGAATGTACGAGAATTGTGTATCGAATTATGCATACTAGAGTTAATAACAAGGCTGTCGAGTACATATTCTTTACATAATTGCACTTTATAATTTTCAGAGAAGCAATGAAACGCTCACACGTCGCACATCGCACTTCGAAAAGCACAAATTGCGAATAAATAATCTTCTCGACATTAATGATCCGAAAAGAGAAAAGTTCATTATATCATAAGTTCATTACATCAGTATATTACAATGCAGGGAAAATGAAGTAATCGACTTTGAGGTCTCGGCCAAGTTCGCCCTTGATCTTCCTTCCGTTCGATATTTAGCCGCGCAGTTTTATAATTATTTGTGACAAAAAGTAAAACAATCGAGAAACGAGAAGTGTAGTAGCGTAGTAGCGAAGAAACTGTGAGAGAATCGAGGTTTATGTTGACTTACGTTAGAATAAATAATCCTAAAAGGACGACTTTCGATCAATACAATTAACAAACACGTAACGATCGATAATAACGTAACGGCAGTGGGCGTTTAAGCAAAACGTAGAATTAAATCTGAAATCGAGAACAAGTTGGAAAACGCGGAAATCTGGCGTAGCACGCGACGTGAACTTTTTCTCTCTAGATATAAACCGATTTACATGTACAAAGTGTGTTGCGTAAACGACGCATGCCATTAAGATAGAAAGAAATATCGAATAACGAGTCCCGAGTGGTGGAGAACGCATATACGAAGTGATCTCGACTCGAAACAATTCTTGGTCGCTGGTGAACAATTTAAATAATCCAAAGAATGTGAGATAAACGAGATTAAAGTTTCTTAGGCATCATTGGCATTTCAAAGAAAATATATAAATGCAGCAAATATAGCAACAAAAATTCTAAAATACATTTATTAAGATATTAAAAATTATATATATTTTTTCATATTTATTTTCGTTTATATATTTACTCCCCTTTCATATTTATACACATGTATATAAACCTTATATTGATTCCCTTACTATTCTCTCTTCCAGACTGTGAACAAGGAATTTATTTGCGAAATACAACAAAACAGTAATGCGAGACGGAAAGTTTTTCCACCTGGCCTCATATCGTCAATTACCATTGATTAGTAATATCGATCAGCCATGAAGTCGAGTACTTTCGCCGGCGGTGAGGTTTTTGTGGTTTCGCTCGACCAAGCTAAACTTAAGGTCTTAGAAAGGACTATTATGCGCAACAAAGAATGTGACCTTATGACATTAGTTTTTCCAAAATTTTCAGAACTTACCCACAAATTTAGAAGGTTTCGTTTCTCGTTTCGAAACAAAATGTATGCACAATATATGAAAAGATACGTAACATATGAAATAATCAAATTATAGGAAAGAGAAACAGAATTTGATACACTATATAAATATATAGTACACTACTAGATACCTATATAAATATATACACTATATAATAATATATTTTTTCTCTTTTAATATAATAAGTTTAGAATAAACTAACAAATCAATTAACAAATTAATAGTAAAACACAACATCCGAATCTATTTATTTTATGTTAAACGAAAATGAAGATGGTTATATCTGATATATTCTTCATGCACATCTTTTTATTATGTCTTTTCGTTATAATAAATGCATCCGTCATTCACAGACGCAGAAGTATTAGAATTCCAAAAAATACACTTACATCCCTAAATCAGGTTTAAATTTTAATTATAATAACCATTCTCTCTCTAAAAAATATAAAAAATAGTCATTTACGAAATGTTTTTTGACCGCACATTACCGATATAACAATTAACGCGCGTGGTACATCTTGAATAAATCTTCTAATAATTAATCACTTATACAACACAATATATAAGATACCTTAGGACATCAGTGATATTGGTAACTCTACATATAGTATGATATATTACAATATATTCCATAACTAATATTGTAACTATGTATGTATGTATGTATATATATATATATATATATATATATATATATATATATATATATATATAT